CCTGTAGTGTGAAACTTTAGAATGAAACGTGCAGCTTTGGTAGCAGCTTGTGTAAAACTCCTTTACAGTTTAAATGCACTATACAGAACAATCAAATAACTTGGTTAGAGGAAAAAATAGCTTGCTTATTCATGCAAGACTCCTGCTGACATCACTGGGCAGTGTAAGCCTTAGGAGTTAACAGGCACGACTCAGACCTTACAGCCTCGGATGGCTGACCACTTTTGCATAGGGTACTACAGCCCATCAACAGTGTAACTCACACACGTGCTTCATCGGTACTGGATTTACGGGTAAGGATTACACGGTGAGTAAAACCACCAGATCAGTTCCAGAGACCTGTTCTTATGAGATCCAGTGTTTCACTTGTTGGCATGATCCTAAGTAAAGTTCGTGTTGACCTGAGTAAGTGCAAGAGGAAACTTTAAGGTCTCAGCTTCTTTCAGTTAAAGCTATTGGAAAAATTCTGCATGACCCAAATGGGAAAGGATTATGCCCTACATCCACTTGTGGCTGTAAAAAACGTATGAGGTTTCTGAGGGAAACCTCAAAATCCAAACAGGACTGAAGCAGCAGATGAACAGGATTTGATTACAGTTAGTTCCGTTTTTTGTCTTCTGATAAAATGACTATGAATCGGATGCTCACCACACAGTTCATCCTAACTCTAACCCATCAGCATGGATCTGTGGCCATGCCTGCTCAAAGCCAGCCTGAAATTGGCTCTTTGTTTACTATACATGACCCAAAAAAGGGGTACATTAAGACATCTAGAGATTCTGAGTTAAAACACAGCATTAGGTAACCAGAAATGGCTGTGAATGGTATAAAGACAGCATCTAATCCCCATCAGCCAGCAGAACAACAGCAGCCACCCAAGTGCCTGCAGGTATTTTCAAAAGTGGGAATATATACATCGAATTTCACCACTTGCATTGGCTACCTCCTATAAAGGCCCTGGAAAAGCTTCATTTGACCTGTAATACTGATTAAACTACAGGCATGAGTTTAGGGGGGAAGAAAGGGAAGGTCACCCACTCCATTGAA